ATATATATATATTGAAACAAAGACACAACACAAAATCTCAGGTAGGTAGGCAAAACCATCAGACTCAACTGGGAAAGCACAAAGTAATTACCAATAATGGAACACCTGCTCCTAAAACCAACCTGCTCATCAGCAAAAATGTTATTGATTTCAATCTACACTTTTCATTTCCTTAATAGATATTGATTGCCCTAACAGATTTTACTTAGCAGCATCTAAAAGTTGATCAGGTCATAATCTGCAGTAGTAGACCAAGTGGCAAGCAGGAAGTGCAGGGTTCAGATCTTGCCTCTGTTGGTGTTAAAACGATGCCCATCATCTTTAGGATTTAAGCCACTGTGAGTCTCAGGTGTATTCTGAGGGAAATAAAATGATCTATCCTAATCAAACAATGTGTGTGAAAGCAGTTTAGAACATTCTTGGAGAGCTATCTCATTGCCAAGCAGAAAGAGTGAGCTGCCAAAATGGGTATGTTCTGTCCATGCAGTGTTATAGCTCAGCAGTCCAAGACTTAATCTTTGCCAGAGAAATAGTTGTGGCCTCCAAAATATTCATTCATTCATTTGATTTATATAGCCACTCATCTCACATAACTCCAACAGCCAGTTTTAATCTGTGAAAGGGCGGGGAGGGGAGGGGAGGGGAGGTGCCCAGCCTGCTTAGTCAGGTTGCTAACAGCAAGTTGCCATTAAGGAGGAAAGCTCATTACGCATCCCAGGGACTGAGCAGCAATGAAGGAGAAATACCACGATGGACATCAGGTAGCACAGAGGTCATAGGGAATAGCCTTGAAAGACAGTGGAAAGATCTATTACCAAGGCAATGATCAGACAAGCATGGCTTGAGCCCATTCCAAGAAACTAACTTGAGAAAATGTCTCAGGTAGGCCTCTCCCAAATTCACACAAAGATAAAATGAGAGAGGAGGGAAACACACTCAGACTTGCAAGATTCTGTTACTACAGCTGTTGTAATAAAAGTAGTTTCAGGCCTATATGACATTGGTTTCTTAGTCTAGTCTACCCTATAGGGCTGACAGGTGGAGCATCTGTACATCATGTTCCTGTTGCCCTCTTCTGCCCAAGCACTTAACCCCTGGGGCACAAACATTGAATCAGTTGTATGGCTCCAGCTAAGCTGTCCAACTTTCATCATGAAAGGTTCTATGACTCTAGTCTGAGCTCAGCTGAACACCAACCTAAAGAGAAAAGCTGGCCAACAGAAAGTCCAAACCCACCCCTCTTTGGATTTTAAAGGATATCTCAAGGCTTATTCACTCTGGTATCACCAAAAAATTCAGGACTGCTGTCATTCTGGAGTTCACAGAGAGATGAACATCTTTGCTATATTGAGATCTCACTGGAGGAGATGCTATAATTTTAAAAGCAGTTCTTCACTTGGCCAAGCCAAAGGTCAGTTCAGTTTCCTCAAGGTGACCACAGAGACATTCCTCTGTTGGGACTATGTAATCTCTAAGGAGGAGCCACATCTGTGAAGGATCACTTGGCCTTAGAGTCAAGGTATTCAGGGACTGAGTCATAACATCAGTGAATGGTGTGAGGTTGCAGGATTTAACATCAGGATTCCCATCAAGGACCTAGCCAGTGAAGTATAGGGAGTCCATGTATACTGAAGTCTTGAATCTCTCTTTAGGCCCCAAAAGAAATAATGGAGTACCCCACTAGCCTTCCTCTGGGCCAGGGAGAATGAAACCTCTGAATTGGCTGGGCTTGATAGAAATACTAAGAGGTTGCTCTTACATGGACTGAAAGAGCTAGACCTTTTGTTCCCTATATTCCAAATAAAGTTTTGGCAGTGGTTTCAAATCTTGCATGATTTAGGATCTCACACTTTCTGTTCTGTATTCTGATATGGCTGCCTGTGACCCACTAGCATTTTTGCACAATGTATTCTAGGCATGGACTTGGTGATATACCCTCATTTCCCCTGCTCTTTCAGCAAGAAGACAAGAAGAAGTCTGGAAACCCTTGTTCCATCTCAAAAAACCCTTCTTCCCAGCCTCAGGTATGCAGGG